GGGTAAACAAGAGCCCGTGCAAGGTAAATTATTTATTTCTACGTGAAATGAATAATTAACCGAGAGTCCTGTTCGACGGAAAGGACGTTACATGGGGTGCGAAGGTACACGGTGGAACATGGATAAATCGAGGATATAATTCATCTTTCCAACAAAATTATTGTTCCTTGCAATAATAAATGATTCAGGCAACGATATATATATTTCTCCCGGTCAATTAATTTTTTTTCTCGGTGCATGTTTACACGGCTTGAATTGCATCGAGGGCATATAAATCGGGGATGCGCGAGGGGATGTAAAATCGCACTGGGGTGCAGTCCGACCCCGGTGCAATCAAAGGCGCAACAAGTGCAGAACTGGTGCAACGACGTACGAGGCGGATCCTCAATGGCGAATTTGCATGGACGTATTTTTCGGGATTCACCGGAGGATTTCGCGAGGGTCCAGAGTGGTGAATGCAAATCGTTACTTTTTCGAGAAGACAGGAATTGCATTTCAATTGTCGGCCTCGTACGAGTACGTCGCGTGCAACGGCTTTCAAGCCGAGACATGTGCGAGGGGATGCAAAATCACATTGGGGTGCGGTCATACCCCGTTGAGGCAGGGGGCATGCAACAAGTGCATCCCGGATGCAGTAGCGTATGGAGTGTCCACGCGTGTACCCCACGGTGATTACCTAGTACAATATACACAACATACGCAAGGGTCTATTTGTCGCGAATTTCTCCCGAATTTCCCGATACCCCCCAAAGGGCAAAGATAAAAGAAACAAGAATATACAAACGCATAAAAAACACGTGACCGCCATAATTCCAGTTTAACAATTGAAAAGAAACGCAATCCCGCGTTTCCCGAAAAGAGAAAATAACTCCCCTTGCATGTCCACAATGCAACAAGCTGAAATTCTCCCGATGCACTTTTGTCATGCAACAAGTGCACGCTCCCCCAGAAATTCACCACCACTATCTACCCTCCAAAAAAAAAAAGAAAAACGGTATACTAACATCTCGAGAACCAATAAAAGGAAACTATAGAAAATCCCCGAAGAAAAAGGAACAAAATAGAAAGAAAGAAAAACCGTCTCCCGAGAAGAATGCAACGAGTGCACCCGTGGACGCGTGCGGGAGTCGGCAGTCTTGCGCCGGTGCAGTCCGGTTTGCGGTAGCGCAACAAGTGCACGCGGATGCACCTCGCGTGGAAGTGCGCCGCAAGGTGAGGGGAGGGGTAAATGCACGCGCGGCGGGGAAGGGGGGAGAGATGGGGGGAGGGGGCACGCGCGGTTGGCACGCGCCGCATGCAACGATTCACGAGAGAAGGAGAAAGAAAGAGAGAGAGAGATTGCGCCTGCGAGATGGAAGAAATGCACTTCTCCCTCCTTCGGTCATTCGCCCCCCTCCCTCTTTTCGTTCGTTCCTTTTGCGATCTTCGATGCTCTCGTGGGGTGACAAGGAGACGGATCGGGGGTTCGATAAGGGGCAAGGGCGAGGTGTATCGGCGGGGATGCAGGCAAAGTGCATCGCGCCCGGCCGCGGGCTGGGGGGCAGGAGGTCGATCTCATTGTATCGCAACCTGACCGCCCTTATGCGCCGCGAGGTGCAGCGGCCTTGTTATGCTAATGAGAAAAGTGCAGCGAGAGGTGAGCTGCATCGGGAGTGCGCCGGCGACCTCCAGGAAGGGGTGGAAGTGGAGCAAGGCTGACCTGGGGATCCTGTCGTCCTCGGTTTAAGTTTCGGGATCCAGGAAGTGGAAATCGAATTCTGGGAGAGGGAAGATCGACTCTCGATGTCGCTAGATTGCATCCAGGAGTGTTCGCGGGTTTTAATTGCGTTCCTTTGGAGCCTGCGGGAATTCCCAGGATTTAAGGCGAATTCTAAAGTGGCGCCCGAGGTGTGAATCCTGGGCGAATCTTTTTGGCCGAATTTTTCGAGACTTTTCTGCTTGAATATGGAGGCCCTGGGAATTATTCCTAGAGTTCATCTTTTTAATTAGGGAAAGAACATTTTTTAATTTGGTATAAATAAGAAAATTCGAGGGTACCGAATTTAAAAAAACAAAAAAAGTGTCACGATCGACCCTGGAAAGCCGCTTTCGTATCTCCTTAAAAATTCTCGCCACCCTGAGGATGGGGAAAGGGCAGGTCGCGATTTAGCCACGTCAGGATGCGCTTTTGTGGGAAGTCAGGCCAATCTTTCGTCGCTCCGTCGAGGGCCGAGTGCAGCTTGCATCGCGACCGCATCGCGTGCACGCGATCCGAGAACCTGCGTGCAGCTCGAGTGCACGGGCAGGCGCACTCGCGCTGTCTCGGATTAAACAGATGCTCGAGAGACGTGAGATCCGTCGATCGATCGATTCGAGGGGGGAACTATCGCGGGGGAAAAAAAAAAGAATCATCACGAAGGGCCGACGCGCGGCGAGAAGGACGAAACGAGGAGGAAGACGCGGAACGCGAGAAAGGATGTCCCGGACGAGAGATTAAGGCTCGCGAAATTCCGAGTACTTTGTTAAAAATAAAGAAAGAGAAGAAAAAAAAATATTAGACTTCCGAGATCGGAAAAGATTGGTCGGATAAGGGAAGAAAACGACGGATAAAAAAATGTCTCGGCGAAATCGATGAGGATCGATCTGATTCTGAATTTTGTATTCAGACCCTGATATGACTTTATAAATTCAAAATGGACGGATTTACTCGTACTTGCAAGAATGTAGGACGTCATTCCAGGGCAATAGGTTAGCGACCCTTAGATTTTCCTCTCGGAATCGAGAAATAGGAGTCGAGAACGAGTCCGAGACGCGGTTTAATTCGGTCGCGGAGGGTCGAGTAGCGAGATCGAGGGGTGCAACTTTCTTCCGGGGTCTCCTTCGGGAGAAGGAGCGAAACGGGTCCCGGGGGAACATCTCCGCTTCCAGCCGAAGAAAGTCAGGATGCTGCGCGTACGTTATGGGAGCGTCACGGAGTGATTTACCTCCCGTGGAGCAGAAGGGGCAGGCACTCCTGGCACCCCGTGGAAACTAGTTCCGAAATGAAACAAGTTGGTTAGCCTTAGCTTTCCCGTTTCTTTCTTCCCCTCCCTCTCTCTCTCTCTCCATCCGCGCTTTACATATGAAACATATCGGCTAATATGGAAATGAACGCTCAGCCCTGAACATCGTCCTCGGCGCGAACCGGCCTCACGGGAGTACGGTAATGGGAAGTGATACGGTCGACATAACCCTTTATTTCGCGGTCTCCTCTCTCTCCTTCTCTTCCTCTTCGTCCTCCTTCTGGAAGCTCTCGGCAATTTGTCACCTGGCGGGCACGAGCTTCGGTAACGAGATCGAGGCTGAGGCCGCTTCACCTGTGCGACGAGTCGGCTGGATTTATTGCTCCCAAATCTGCCACTGCGGTCATACTTGCTAATTACGCGTCTCGCGGAATTGTCCGAGGGCGAGGAAAAATGTCTCGTCGACGATGCCGAAGGAAACCCCACTGCGAGACTTGGACTTTTCGGGTTTGAAATTTGGATAGGATATAAATTTGGAGCTTGACGTTTGGACATTTAACCGCGGTACAAATGTCCATCTTGCCGACAAAGGTGCCTACATACCATGACTAATCGATCAATATCGGTCAACGAAATGAATCAATGATTTACCCCACTGGATTTTGTTGCTCGCTCCTCCTGATGATAGGTTACCCTATCGTAGTATCCACAATGTCTATAGATTCGGTGATAACGCGAGTAAGTAAAAGTCATAAATATACAAATGATCGATATGACCTGTTTTCCCATATTTTCAACCAAACCGGGATACCTATCCCAGGAGGTTCCACCAGGATCGAGGTTCCTGGCTCGTTAGGAAAGTTCGATGACGGGTTCCCTAGTTAGCAAACCGTGGTGATGCGTTCCCTTGTTAGGACTCCGCATCCTGCGATACGGTGGTGATTAATTTAGGAAACATCTCCCGGAGTTTTAGGCACACATCCGAAGGAGTCCCCGTAAACCGAGTAAGTACTGTTTATGTAAGAATTTACACGGTCAAGGGGTTGCCATCAGTGGGGAAGGGTTGTGGCGATCCGTGATGGATAGGGACAGATGTTCACGAGGTTAAGCTGATTTTCCGGACGTTTCGGACCGATCGGCAGAAAGGACGAGGAAGACCTTACATGTACGGGACGAAGTGGAGGATGAGATGGAGAAACGGAGGGAAGAAGAAGAAGACCACTCGGGGTGTGGGGAAATAACAGATTGCAGTTGTGGCACGAGCGGTCGAGACGAGGCTCGCAGCCTGGCTCGAGTCTTGCTCGGAAAGAGGCAGGTGCCAGATTTTTGTTTTCGCCCTTTCTTTCCGATTTTCTTTTTCCTTTTCGAGCCCGCCACTTCCAGTGGCTCCCAGCGAGACTGCAGGCCCTTGAAGGGTCCCCGTACAGCGTAATGTCACGAGTGAAATGACAGATCTTCCCGCAAAAGGGGGACCAAGAACTCTGGAGTCCCATCTCTTACCTGAAAGCCAACTCTTCGTGCTTTCGCACCGACCTCGAAGAGTTGCAGACGAGAAAGCGATTTCGGCGGATGTAAATCCTAAATCATGCTCACGCACAAACAAAACGCGCAGGCGAGGTCCTTTAATGAGTTCCGACACACTGGATGAAAGTTTTGAGGACGATAGTCGCTACCAAAGGCCCATCACCACCCAGAAGAAATTTTCAAAGATGAGGAGATTCGGAGGTCGCCGCGAGAATTCTTGTTCGAACGAGTCCTGGTGAGGATGGAACGTTGAAGAATGATATGTGAGATTTCTTAAAATTTTTCCTCAATTTTAAAACACCGTATTTCAGAGATTAATGCATATCGTCTCGCGCTGTGTCTAGCTAGGTATTAAGAATTAGCTGCTCGGCACTCGAGGATCTCTGACACGACTTTCAATCGGAACTCGTAGGCGGAAATTGTCGTCTAATGGCAGAAAGGGTTGAAAGGGGACATGCGAGTTGAGATATGAAAAGGCAGAACGAAAAATTCCACTCACCGTTTCTTCGTCCCGCTGGCCACTGACGGCTCCACGATGAGCAACGACCCGAGGTAGGTGTATCCTGAAATCAGACAAGAAGATTCCATAGAAACCCGTAATTAACGGCAAGATGAAGAAACATTACCAAGCCAAAGGTCTGGATACAAGATACAGTACATAGAGACAACGAAAACCAAATTTCGCGCTGCATTTTCTATCGTTAGGAAAATTGCATTTCGGAGCGAATGCAGTCCACCCCCCAGCTTGCAAAATTGTCCAATATTTATTAGATAATATTAATAATAAAATTGCATCCCTCGGACCATTTCTCAAGTGGTTTCATAAAATTGCAGAGATTTGTATCTTCCTTAAAAAATCGGATCGGGAGGCTCTTCCGGGATCCACCCCGAAGACGAGCGACTCGCAGATTTCCCACGTCCTCCCTTAGAGAAAGGCTAGGAAGAAAGTGCCCCCGGCCTCGTCGGATGGGTGGCACTTTCTCGCCCAGGCCCGAAAGGGGTGGAGGGGGTCTCCCGCGGAGCTTCCCATGGAAACGGCGAAGACATCGGGTCTTTGTGCCGGGTCTTTGGGCGCGTCCAATGCGTCCAGTGCGTCGAAATGCGTGCGTCCGGTGCGTGACCTCGGGTGATGACCGGTCCCCGAAGAGCGGCCAGGACGCGTCTCTTCCGGGTGCGGTTCGCACGCGCGCGGTCTCGCGAGCGATCGCCGAGCGGCTCACTCATATTCTAATCAGGATCAAGAGGTTATGTGAAAGAGGTTAGGCGCGGCTCTGGAGGACGAGGTCCGAGCCTCGGTCTCCGGTTCTCTCCTCGACGCAGCCTCGACTAGTTATAATCCACGCGTATTTCCTTTCCTATGTGCCAGGTGTCTTCTACCGGTCGGCCCATCTAATTTACCCTGCCCCTGCCGGCCCCTTAAGGCCCCTTAAGGCCCCTGCCCCCCGTTCCCAACTGCCCAAAGCCGACCAGTTCCCCGTCGTGCCCATCTCCGGGAAAAGGACGAGCCGGGGAAATCTGCCGAAAATTCGGGAACCGGGAAAAAGCGCCAACTCCGACGAAGAGAATTTTCAGGCGTTAAGGCGGGCCGAGGGGCTCGTTTATGGCGCTTTTTTCGGAACCGGGTGTACCAAAGCCGTTGAAATTTCACCACGTCAATCGGGAGGTGTCGAGGAAGGTCCCTGTACTCGTGATATTTAATTTCATTATTTTTATTTCTTTATATACCAGACGAATCGACGGAACTGTGTACTTTTATTCGCAGGTCTCTTTTTACTGTTGATCTCGCGGAAGACCACGAAGCCACCGTACCGTGAAAAATCCGGTATTAATCTGTCCACCCTTTTGGCAGTGTCGCAAAAAGCGGCGTCCCCGAGTCGCAATAATGACAAAGGAGGGCGGTGACCCTGGTAACGTAATTTGGATCATAAACAAGAGTGCACTGCGATTCCAAATATAGAAACCCAAATCTCCTGGATAAACGGTGAATGATATCTCGCGATAAGCCGACATTATAAAACATCGCGTTATCGGGAAATGTCCCCATTCCGTTAATAACATTTTAGTTCGCCTAAAGTTGCATGAAAATGACGTCTCGGAAGAGGTGGAAGGTGGAACTCGAATCCGAGTAGCCGATCGATCGGGAAAATGGACTGACATTTTTTTGGGTATATTTAATCGCAGGACATTATCGTAACAATGAACATCTCTGAGTCAACCAATTTTTTTTTTCTCAGTGTACATTTAATACTGAGATATACAATTTGAAATATCTATCTACGTTTGGAATGTTAGTTTGTATACGTAGACGGATGAAAATGAAAACGTCTCGGAAGAGGTGGAAGGTGGAACTCGAATCCGAGTAGCCGATCGATTGGGAAAATGGACTGACATTTTTTTGGGCATATTTAATCGCAGGACATTATCGTAACAATGAACATCTCTGAGTCAACCAATTTTTTTTTTTCTCAGTGCACATTTAATACTGAGATATGCAGTTTGAAATATCTCTCTACGTTTAGATTGTTTGTAAGTTTGTATACGTAGACGGATGAAAATGACGTCTCGGAAGAGGTGGAAGGTGGAACTTGAATCCGAGTAGCCGATCGATCGGGAAATTCGGCAAGGGGGACTGACGGGGTCCGCTTTGTGTTCGATCGGGCACCGATAGGAATCTCGAAAGTCCTATTTCGGAGCGAAACGGACGCAGGTCGGTTGAAAGAGGGCCCGCCGAAAATAGGGAGATCCCTACAATGGTGTGCGTGTGGCGAGTGGCGGAATTGTTCGCGAGGAGTCCATTAAATGCAGCAGAATGCCGGGTACAATGAAGGCCGTAGGTAGAAACCTACCGGGCCGACTAGCTTGGGAATGCGAATGAATTAAAAATGCTCGTACGGACCGAGACGTGGACCTAGAGAGAGAGAGAGAAGGAGGGAGAAGGACGACCCGATCGGGAGAAGAGCCAGATATCGCGAGGGAATAGAATAATAATAATATGAAGAAAAAAAAAGAAGAGCACACTAGATGGCTACTTAGAAAGTCTCGTGTCAACCCCACCTGGCTCTCCACGGTCTTTTAATAATATTCGTAAGTGTTCGGCTCGGACGACGCGGATAACAGGTTTCATGCGAAAGCCAATTCGCTACAAAGTACGCCGGGACGCTCGACGACGTTTTAATTCGACTCGTATTGGTCCCACCTCAGGGGTAGACTCCGTTGAAGGGAGGAAGGAATCCGCCATACCGACACCTCGCCCCGGGGCTCGAGAAAATTCATTATTGGATATTATACGAGATTTTTCCCAGCGCTTTCCGTGACCGTTCCTGGGGATTCAAGATGGCGGACGAGAAGCGTCTCGGCGCGTCTGCGAATATTTACCGTGTAGCCATACTTATTGAGTAACGTCGTGCACTTGGATAAAGCATTCTTTGAATAATACCCAAATGATATTTGTTCATTCATTTAAATTAACGAATTAAATCTTGAAGGGGACCACGATATTTCGAGTTGAACCCTCTTGCGGAGGGCGACGAAATTTCCGTGGGATGCCTTCTTGTATAATTTCATAGTCTCATGCTTCTTGTCCGAGAGAAATAACTGGTAAGCCCACGTAACCACCGTGGAGGAAACATTTTGACACCGCCACCGTCATTAATCTCTAGGAGTATATTTTAATGTCTACGGCGTGGCGGCCTGTCAAAAGTGGCGTTAAATGCGCGGCTCGAGGCGCGTTTCCCGGGCAACGTTCCGGGGCTTCTAAAAGCGGCTGAAATTTCCGGAAAATCTGGAAAGACGGCACGACGTAATTCGGGGGAGACGGCATGAAAAAGAAGCCCGAGGATTAAGGTCTCCTGGCCCTTGCGGGGCCTCCAGGAAAAATGCTACATCCAGGCCTGGCGGAATCTCCCGTAAACCCAAGAAACCCCATGAAAGTCCCTAGACCGTCCCAGCCAACGCCCGAACACCGTCAAAGGTACCCTAAAATGAAAAAAAAAGTCCAAAAGAAAACGTCCGAAAATTCCCAATACACCGCCTCACCTCCAGACCAACCATCATCCAAGTAACAATTCCAGGAGTGAAATTTTCAGAGCGAAGTCCTCGAACCTACCCAAAAATAAAAACAATCCAGATCGAAGACTCCAAAAATTCCTCCAAAACATCCGAAGTAAATCCCGCGAGCCCTCCGAATCTACATGAAAAAAAAAATAATAACAGTTCACGTAAAGTCATCCAAGCGAAGAAGGAGGTCGTCCAGGTCGTCGGGGACGATTTTCGGCCTCTCTTTCCGTCCCATCCCGGGAAAACTCCCTGGGGTATTTTCCCCCAGGGAGGGGCGCCTCGGGGGTAGGCGGCGCCGGGCGTCGGGCGGCGTCTCGGTCCCCGGTATCGGGACACCCGGTATATACCTAAAATATACCGACATCGCATGGGGCGGCTGCTAAGAAATGCAGAAACAGCAGTTGCTATGCTAGGTGGTACTCCCTCCAACACTCTCGCATCTCTAAGCAGCGTCGGCAGCGCCGGGGAAACTGACGCGCACGAACACACGTTCAGGCTTAGGCCACAGGAGGACGCAGAAGGGACGAGGGCGCATGCGCGCGGGTAGCCCATAGGAGCGAGCGCACACGCAAACTAGGGTAGAGCGAGAGGGAGCAAGGGGAGGAGCGGGGGAGCGAGAGAGAGGGCCGCCCGTCCGTATGCGGGCACACGAGCGCGGGCCCGCATGCATGCACGTACTCGTCGGGGGAGAGAGGGGCGAGAGGGGAGGGAGGGGGGAGTGGGGCAAGTTTTAGGGAGCCGGTGCGGACCGACCGAGAGAGAGTAGGTTAGCAGGCTCTCGGCAGCGTTCCCTCGGGAGCGAGGGAGACGGCTCCAACGGCCTACCCCCGGGAGGGAGCGGGACGGCAAGTGCCTTTATAGTGGGTCAGTACTAGGCCGCACTGCCGGCATTGCCGAATGTAGCAGTGCCGGCACCCGGCTCGCCGACGAGAGGCTCAAGGCCGAGGCTCCCCTAAACCCAAAACTACCAGGTAGGCTCTCTCGGCCCGCGCCACCGAGAGAGAGAGAGACCCGCCGACGGGAGCGAAAGGGAGAGGGGCCTAGGCTCTTGGCTTCGCCACATGTACGCACCACGCACATGCCCCGGTAATATATATTCATGCCCTCTCTGTCCCTTGGGCGGGCCCTCGCGACGATAGGACCCAAACCCCGGCCTAACCCCAAGGTGGAAGGACTCTTCTAGGTCTAACGGAGAGTCCCAGGTCCTTTCGAAAAATCGAGAGGCACCCTGGGCGATCGGCACACTTGGTGGTGGAACTGGATCGATGGAAATGGATTCTGGGGTGATTTACGAGGTTTTTTAGACTCGACGAAGGAGGTTCGCTCCACTAGGGAGGATTCCTGCGAGTTTTGGAATGCACCGAGATTGTCTAACCTTACCTTAACTGCGGTATTGAAATAAGTCATGCAGCTTTTGGGTCGCGATCGGAGTATCGGGGGGGTGGGAATGGTTTACAGAGTTTCAGGGGGAGGTTCTTCCTGGGGCGGGAAATTATCTCAGCGCCAT